GACGAGGTGGACCCCGAGCAGCTCGTCCAGGAGACCTGTCGGAGCTGCCTGGAGCAGGTGGGTGCTGGCGATGGGCCGCGCTCCCTCAGCAGAGCGTGGCACCGGGCCGAGCAGAGCAGCCCAGCCAGGATACATCCCTCTTAACAGCTTTGCCCTGAGCTGGGGATGACATCTGTAGCCCTCATGCAGGTGCTGTGCTTGGCTTCATTCTTGCTGGGAAGAGGGGAGCAGGCAGGGCCGGGCAGACTGCTTTACACCCCTGCCATCAGCATGTGTTGCAGGGCCGGAGCTTCCGTGGAGACCGGCCCCTGGTGCTCTTTGGAGAGCCCTGGGGGGAGTGGGGACAAATTTTTTTCTTTTACATCTTGCTTTTGTGCCAGTTGCCCAGACTTTATCATGCTCAGGTTATGCTTTTGCATCTCACTGTCTGCGAACGGTCTGCATGCCTGGCACTCTGAGAGCAGAGCCGTGACCGGGCTTCCAGGCAGGGACACAAGGGTGGGGGTTGCTGGCAGGTCCCTCTACAGATCTAGCGTCGGGTAACCTTTCTTTCTCTTCCTGCAGGCCAAACTGCTGTTCTCTGATGGCAAAAAAGTTGTTCCCAGGTTGCCTCATGAGCAGGCAGTACCAAAGGTAAAAGTTGTGATTGTGCCCAGAGGCTTGAAGGGCTTATAAGGGCTGGGAGAGGGAGGGGAAGGGTTGGAATTGCTTTGTTCTCTGCCCATCAGTGCACTAGCGAGGAGGCAGAGCTGAGGGGCGTTTGGCTAGGAGGGAGCACTACCTACAGAGCAAGGAAAATCCCAGGCATGGTCACTGCACATTCAGTCCGTTGCTTCTCACTGGGGCGGGCTGGGGTTTCCTCGCAAGGGAGAGAGCAGCCAGCTGGGCACCTGGGGTCCTGCCGCCCTCATCCCACTGCTGTTCCCCCTTCCAGCGTGCCCGACAGATGGACGAGGAGCTGAATCGCCGAGGGAGCCCCATTCCCAAAAAGGTGGGAGGGTTTTTCATGCAAGGGATTTCATGTTGCTCGTTCCTGGCCATTCTGGGTGCGCAGGCAGCTTTTGGGATGCTCAGACGTGCTCGCTCTTGTGCCAGCCGGCGCTTCTGCTCGTGACAAAAACAGCAGCTTCCCCAGGAGTGGGAGGGTAACTGCGAGGTCTCTCTCAGCCTGCGTAGCCAAGTAACTGAGGGATTTCTCTCATGCAGAGAAAGGGGCGGCCTCCAGGACAGAGCCTGTCGAACGACCGCGGAGCCTCAGGCATGGCTGCGTGAGTATGGGTCCTGAGCTAGAGCCCCCAGTTTGGGAGGGCGGCAGAGAAATGGGGCTGCCCAGCTGGGGGATTACAGAAACGCTGCAGTGTCCTTCCCCTCCTGCAGAAAGGAGAGGTTCAGGAGGTGCCAGAGGGTGGGCAGGAAGGGTTTGGGTTGAGATGTTTCCACCAAAAGGCAAAGACCTTCAAGGAGGTGGTTTCAAACAGGCTCAAGGGGGTGAAAAGGTCCATTCAGAGTGAGCAGTGTGGGACACAGGTGGTGGTGGTGGGAGCCAGGGAAATTGGACTGTAATTTTCCTTACATTCCCTTAAAATTCCTTACAATTCTTTTTTTTCTTTCTTAGAAGCGCGTGCAGTAGAGTTGAGGATGGGGAGCTGAGCACCACAGGGGAAGGGGGGTTGTGAACAAAGGTGGATCTGGAAGGGCTGGGCTCAGTCCCTGCTGCGGATGCCGCGGTGGTAACCACACTGGTCCCGCAGGGACTTGTTCTCACTGCATTTTCCTTCTCCTCAGGTGGAAGCTCAAAGTCTCTGAGCCCGTGAAAAGGGATGGACCAAAGGTATTGGCTGGCTGACACTGCCAGGCTCACCATCTCCTCCCCTTTGCTCCCACCAGCAGAGCCCTGCGGGAGCGGAGGGCAGCGCCGAGCTCGGCTCGGCCCTGACGGGTGCTGCAGTGCAGGGGAGAAGCAAGAAGAGGAGCGAAGTGCCTGGAGGCCTTTGCTTGTCTCCACCAGATGCTGTAGGCCGTAGCTCTGCGGCGTGGTGCCGCTATTAGGATTCCTGGGGAGAGCAGTGGTAGCCAGGAGGATCCCAGAAGTGTTTCCCACAAGGGAAATTGCTTAGGTCAGCCCAGAGGGAATGTAACTTCCCTCCTCTGCACAAGCCCGGAGGTCTGTGGCCAGCTACCTCCCTCCCAGGCTGGGGGCAGTTCCGAGGTTCCCTGTCAGAGTGCTGAGGCTCGTGGAGCATGGGCCGGCACCGGCTTCATTTCTAATGTTGCCCCTTTTCCAATTGCTCTGTAGTGGGATCCATCCCGACTGACTGAAACCACAACCTTTGTGCTGGGATCTCGAGCAAACAAGTAAGGAATGGCCCTGTCGACGGAGGGTGGTGTCCCCAAGGCAGGAGCCTGTAAGACTCCTCCCGTCACTTCGCTTCTGTGCCTCGAAAGCAGTAGGAAGGGCTTGGGGAGGAGAGGAGGTATCCCTGTACCACCACAGCCGCCCTGCACGCAGGCGTAACACCCCTGTGTTCCTCTTTCAGAGCTCTCGGGATGGGAGGAACAAGAGGGCGACTCTACATCAAGCATCCCCACCTCTTTAAGGTCAGGTGCTGCAGCAGGACGCTTCCTCCTTCGGGGTTTGCTCAGAAATGGTTTCTGGTGGGACTCGGGCGTGCGTGCTGCAGCTGGCTCATCATCTTCCTCCCCCTGCCCCTGTTTGTCACCTCGGAGCAGGGACACGCACGGTCCGGCTGGCACCGGAGCAGTTGCGGCCGCGCCCAGCCCCCCCAGGCCGCAGTGGGTTTGCTCAGAGCCAGGGCTCGAGGCTGGAGGAGCAGCAGGCAGAGGGGAGCCCTTGCGTCCCGGCAGGAGGGGGGTCAGAGCTGGGAGTCTGTCGCCGGTGCTCAGCCAGGTCCTTGCTGCTTTATTGCAGTACGCAGCTGACCCGCAGGATAAGCACTGGCTGGCAGAGCAGCAGCACATGAGGGCGACGGGGGGCAAGATGGTGAGTACGGCC